CTTTAACTTTTACCAAAGTATTTTTTGGTAAGATACTTGTACTTTTACTCAAATATCACTTTGTGGTACTTTATACAACACTGGTCTTAAGGTTGAATTTTCTTTAAAAACATGTCAAACAAAGTTCATATTAATGCAACCAAAGTGAGATTTTATCCCAAAATTGCTTAAAAACAAACACTACTGAACACTTACTGCGAAATTTCACATAAATTCCTGGTTTGTCGTTGCACCCGTACTCTCCACTGTTGCTGTCTTCGTAAGGTAATGTCAGGTTATCTTGTTCAACGGTAATACCCTTTCCAGTAACATACATTTTTTTATTGCTGCCGTCAGTGCTTTTACAAATCAGCTTAATCCCATCTCCCAGCTCGATCACATCTATACTCACTGCGAAAAAAATTCAATTCAATTAAACACAAAAAGTGCTCTGTTATATTTTAAGAAATATGTTATTTTTAACTGTAATGCAAATTAAATGCAACATGTCTCCTGCTCAGGAAGACAACTAAAAGAAGTTAGGCTAGTTTTCTTACTGTCTGAAGACAGCTGACAGCTGACATAAACTGCAGGGAAAAAGAAGAATATTTTAAAAAAACTGGGTAGCCATTTAATCACATACAACAACAACAACAACAACAACAACAACAACAACAAGGTTTGGGTCTTTAAGATGTAAGGAGAAATATGGTCATTAGGAAGGAAAAATGCATTTAAATTATATTAATGAATCATCTGGTGTTTTTCTAGTGTTAAATATTTACTGTTTTTAATCAGGATAAAACACAATATAAATCTGTGCATGTGTCCATCTCTTTTGAAGCAAGCATTTTTTTAAATTTGATGCTTCTATATGACCTTCATTAGTMGTTAAGAAAGAATTCATTGAATCGTTGTTGTCCAATTTAAACATCGCATTTCTTCACAGATGAGAAGAGGAGCTGTTCTCCACAGTTTAGCCCAGTAAAGTAGCCTCTATAAAGCTGGGTTAAAGTGGCAAGAGTTGATGCTAAAGTCAGGAAAAAAACAGGTTGTAGTTTCTTTTAAGACATTTAGGAATCTTATCAAATACGTGAAAGAAGCTTTTGTTTTAGTTACATAAAGCTTAATTAAAACTCGTAGTAAGAGGTGAAAAATAACAAAAGTGAACTTTTAAATGATTAAGAAAAAAACATTTGTAAATCAAATGGTGTTTTTCATCTAAGAGGAACACGTTCATATTATTGTGAGGTACGGTGAGGGCAGCATCATGCTGTGGGAAATGAGTCAGAACACAAGAAACAACTGATGGAGTTAAAAACAGGCAGATTCTGCAGTCYTCAGGGTTTTCCTAAAGTTGTTGATTATGCTGCTGTTGTTACCTTCTCATTCCTCTGCAATAACTACAAATTGTAATACTAACAACCTGCATAAACATGTATTTGATTTATATATATA